ATCAAAATTGCATTTCACCTCTGTAATCACACAATGTAAAAAGACACATCGAACACATCTTGAGGTTATCTTGAGGTTATCTTGAGGTTATCTTGAGGTTATCTTGAGATGATTTCGGGGCTTTAGTGTCCCCGCGGCCCGGTTCTCGACCAGGCCTCCACCCCCAGGAAGCAGCCCGTGACAGCTGACTAACACCCCAGGTACCTATTTTACTGCTAGGTAACAGGGGCATAGGGTGAAAGAAACTCTGCCCAATGTTTCTCGCCGGCGCCTGGGATCGAACCCAGGACCACAGGATCACAAGTCCAGCGTGCTGTCCGCTCGGCCGACCGGCTCCCTTATGCTCCCCTCCTGCTTATGTAGGACAGACGAAAATCTCTGCATTGATGTTTGTAGGTAAAATCAGCATTATAAAAGCACTACAATCACCTTCTGTGGTTTGTTTAATAAATCACTGAACTCTTAAGAGATCTCTCTTAAGAGTGTCTCTTAAGAGATCTCTCTTAAGAGTGTCTCTTAAGAGATCTCTCTTAAGAGTGTCTCTTAAGAGATCTCTCTTAAGAGGTCTTAAAAGATCTCTCACCCTGTCTATGGAGGACAGAAGAAAATGCATATATATGCTGGTTAGCATTGTAAATGTCTGGCCACGTCTGTGGTAGGAATTTTTTTTTTATTATTATTGGTTTACAGTGTATCAGGATAATGCCTTATTGTATTTATTTACACCTTAGAACACTTATATATTTACACACAATCGTAGCATTCTGAACACTTGTGTTTGAACATTAAATTGAGAATATTTACAATCCCCGCTCCACAAGTGCTTTCACACCGCCTCTGTCACCTCTATTAGAATACTGTAGAGCATTATACTACTAAAGAGGACTGGTAATGAGGGTTGTGGGAAGCATACAGCAATGCCTTAAGAATTTAGTCAGGCCGGGTCGAGCGCAGGAAATACGTCATTGACGCACAGCTCTAGCCTAACCTTCTAGGAGACGTGACCGCGACATACGCAGTGTGCTCACACCTACATCCGTGTGAACGCACGCACACACGCACACACAGTTGATTGACTTGACACACACACACACACACAGTTGAGTCCAGTTGATTGACGGTTGAGAGGCGGGACCAAAGAGCCAAAGCTCAACCTCCGCAAGCACAAATAGGTAAGCACACACACACACACACACACACACACACACACACACACACACACACACACACACACACACACACATTTTTAAAAGTAGATATGATAGGGAAATAGGACAGGAGTCATTGCTCTAAACAACCGGCGACTAGTAAGGCAGGATCCAAGAGCCAAAGCTCGACCTCCGCAAGCACAAATAGGTGAGTACACTCCCACCTACCCCACAGGGGCACGGAGCGGCCATACCCAAGAGGTGCCCCAGACCCGAGACAGAAGACTACACCAGAGATATCCCAAGGAAATGCGTAAACATCTTGACCTGCTTGTTAATACGTCTGAGTCCTCACTCCTAACATCACAAGCTCACCTACATGTATTCGCTTGTGTATGCGTATCAGGGCGAGTATTAGCTCCTGGGCCCCCGTCGAATTTTTCCCTTTTTATAATCTTTTTAAGGAAATGTTCGTAGGTTTATCTATCTTCCTTTCTGGCTGCCTTGGGCTGGTGTTGTTATTATAGATTCAGCTACTCGGAACAGGTTCCAAGTAGCACGGGCTATGGTGAGCCCGTAACTTACCTGGCACAGGAGCAGGGCAAGTAGCACGGGCTATGGTGAGCCCGTAGTGGACTTACCTGGCACGGGAGTGGTGCCGTCTCTCCCGTCTCTAACTGGGCTGGTGACTGCTCCGTGACCTTATACTGGGAGGTCCTTGATGCCTGGTCACCTCACACTGCCCGAGCTGCTGCCTGTGGGATCCTTGGTGGTCCGGAAGGTAGGATATTGTAGCGACGCCACGGGCCCACCGTAGAGTATAGCTGTCACTCACCGTCTTCCCTTCTTCATGCCCAGCTGCTGAGCCTAGCAGAGGCCTAGTTGCTGAGTCTAGCTAAGACCCAGCTGCTGAGCCTAGCAGAGGCCTAGTTGCTGGGCCTAGCTAAGACCCAGCTGCTGGGCCTAGCCAAGACCCAGCTGCTGGGCCTAGCTAAGACCCAGCTGCTGGGCCTAGCCAAGACCCAGCTGCTGGGCCTAGCTAAGACCCAGCTGCTGGGCCTAGCTAAGACATGTCTTCCAAACCTGGCCATAAAGTTTGTTAGTTGCACTGTCATTGAGATTTTTAATGCACAGAGAAATCCCATTATCGTGATATATCAGCGAGGAAATGATTTAGATCTAGGAACACCCAGCGCATAGGTTCGAATCCTCATGACAGCTCATGTGATTTTCTCAAGATTTGGAATTATATTTGACGTGAAAACACTAAATGATTATATGTATGTTGGCTGCCGATCGAGAGAGAGAGAGAGAGAGAGAGAGAGAGAGAGAGAGAGAGAGAGAGAGAGCTAGCTACACTACCTCTGGTTCAGCGAGTGAGGACCCTTTGCCATGGTGAAGAGAACAACTGGTATTGGAGGGAACCGTGTCAAGCCCCGCGTACAGAGCGTCTTCTGTCTTCCATATGGGATTTCTTATTTGAGATCTTGCTCTATATTATACATTCACGACTTTTTATTAATATGGAAAGCAGTGAAAGGCTGTATGTATGTACATCTTTTAAGCTCCACAGGGATGCCGGACACGAATGACATATTGTGTGTCCGTGACAAAGCCTTGGTGATGCTGCCAGTTCCATGGTCTAGGTGGAAGGGGTAATGGGGGAGAGGTCGGAGGGATGAGTATAGTGAGGTGTGGGCGACCCAGAGCACCCACCCATCACTACACTATCAACACAGGAATCACACATGCATTGCTTAAACCCCCCATCCCTTCCGCAGGGCCGTGAAGGCCGCCTGTGACGTATTTCCACTTTCTCAAAAATCAAACAAAGCCCCCACTGTGACGGATTCAAATATAACCATATTCGCTCCAGCGAACACCCGCTCCAACGAATATCAAACACCCACTCCAGCGAACTCTCGCTCCAGTGAACCCTGAACACCCGCTCCAGCGAATACTAAACACCCGCTGCAGCGAACAGTAAACACCCTCTCTGGCAAACATCCGCTCCAGCGAACACCAAACACCCGCTCCAGCGAACACCCAACACCCCGCCTGTTCTTAAAATAGAACATCAACGTCAGCACAAGGAATTTTGATAACACTTGATGAATGTCACTTTACATGGATTATGAGTGTAAGTATTTTGATTACACAATTTTGGGTGTTAATAGTTTGATGACATCAGCACTCTGCTGGTGATTGTTGCCGTCCTGCTTGTTCATAGTTTAGTGATTGTTGGATGTGGCAGGTAACATACGGTAATTGTTGTGGTTCTCGTGTTTGACGCAGCTGGGCAGTTGACGTGACGCAGCTGGGCAGTTGACGTGACGCAGCTGGACCACCACCACACGAGGCTGACACCGGACCTCAGTGGTGCACTATCTATCAACTTCTCCGGCATATTGTTCGTAGCAGATACACAAGAAAGCTTTGTCGTTGAGGAGTGAGGCACGAAGGTTAGCAAACGCGTCAAGTGCGGCTGTTGTGGGAGGGAAAGTGCAGGGTGTTGCCTACAAAAAGTGGGCCTGGAGAGAAACTTCTATTTTGGCCTGTGTCTCTGGATACATATCTTGGTACTCCGCCCCAAGGCTGTAGATGGTCCCAGTGGCTCGCCTTGTGTGTGTGTGTGTGTGTGTGTGTGTGTGTGTGTGTGTGTACTCACCTAGTTGTGTTTGCGGGGGTTGAGCTCTTGCTCTTTGGTCCCGCCTCTCAACCGTCAATCAACAGGTGTACAGATTCCTGAGCCTATCGGGCTCTATCATATCTACACTTGAAACTGTGTATGGAGTCAGCCTCCACCACATCACTTCCTAATGCATTCCATTTGTCAACCACTATGACACTAAAAAAGTTCTTTCTGATATCTCTGTGGCTCATTTGGGCACTCAGTTTCCACCTGTGTCCCCTTGTGCGTGTTCCCCTTGTGTTAAATAGACTGTCTTTATCTACCCTATCAATTCCCTTCAGAATCTTGAATGCGGTGATGTCCCCCCCTAACTCTTCTGTCTTCTAGCGAAGTGAGGTTTAATTCTCGTAGTCTCTCCTCGTAGCTCATACCTCTCAGCTCGGGTACTAGTCTGGTGGCAAATCTTTGTCCAGTTTAGTCTTATCCTTGACTAGATATGGACTCCATGCTGGGGCTGCATACTCCAGGATTGGCCTGACATATGTGGTATACAAAGTTCTGAATGATTCTTTACACAAGTTTCTGAATGTCGTTCGTATGTTGGCCAGCCTGGCATATGCTGCTGATGTTATCCGCTTGATATGTGCTGCAGGAGACAGGTCTGGCGTGATATCAACCCCCAAGTCTTTTTCCTTCTCTGACTCCTGAAGAATTTCCTCTCCCAGATGATACTTTGTATCTGGCCTCCTGCTCCCTACACCTATCTTCATTACATTACATTTGGTTGGGTTAAACTCTAACAACCATTTGTTCGACCATTCCTTCAGCTTGTCTAGGTCTTCTTGACCTAGTGTGTGTGTGTGTGTACTCACCTAGTTGTGCTTGCGGGGGTTAAGCTCTGGCTCTTTAGTCCCGCCTCTCAACTGTCAATCAACAGGTGTACAGATTCCTGAGCCTATTGGGCTCTATCATATCTACACTTGAAGCTGTGTATGGAGTCAGCCTCCACCACATCACTGTGTGTGTGTGTGTGTGTGTGTGTGTGTGTGTGTGTGTGTGTGTGTGTGTGTGTGTGTGTGTGTGTGTGTGTGTGTGTGTGTGTGTGTGTTTTGGAGGACGGCCGTGACAACAAACAGGATTCGCTGATAGCTTATCTAGGCAGCGCAGTCTTAAAATACTTGAGCGTATCCTGTCGACATTCTCGGTCTCTACGCCGGCGTTCACACGTCTCTGTTGTGCAATCTCTGGGGGTCTGCGTTCTCTGGGGTCTGGGGTCTGCGTTCTCTGGAGTCTTGCGTTCTCTGGGGGTCTGCGTTCTCTGGGGTCTGCGTTCTCTGGAGTCTTGCGTTCTCTGGGGGTCTGCGTTCTCTGGGGGTCTGCGTTCTCTGGGGGTCTGCGTTCTCTGGGGGTCTGCGTTCTCTGGGGTCTGCGTTCTCTGGGGTCTGGGTTCTCTGGGGTCTGGGTTCACTGGGGACTGCGTTCTCTGGGGGTCTGCGTTCTCTGGAGTCTTGTGTTCTCTGGGATCTGCGTTCTCTGGGGGTCTGCGTTCTCTGGGGGTCTGCGTTCTCTGTGGGTCTGCGTTCTCTGGGGTCTTGTGTTCTCTGGGGGTCTGCGTTCTCTGGGGTCTGCGTATCGGTGTTATCCATTGGTGGGTTGGTCACTTGTGAACTAGCTATGATATCACTACAAATGTCTTGAAATGAAACTAAAGAACCTCACCTGAGTAGTCTCGATAACCATTCCTAGGCCTTATATACGCTATCTTAAGCCTAGAACATATATATATGTGTGCTCTGATAGGCCTAGGTAAATTAGGGGGGGGGAGGGGTTGGGTAGTTTGTGGTGCTCTCTACACTATTAATGGTACAGAAAGGGAAACGTTAATTGTTTAAAATAGTCCAATTTTGTATGTTCAATCACATAGTTGCTATATTGTACTATCATGTTGATGGTCGGGTTGAGGTGTACACGGTAGAGGCGGAGTCAGCGACGGTACACGTACAGAGGAAGAGACAGCGACGGTACACGTACAGAGGAAGAGACAGCGACGGTACACGTACAGAGGAAGAGACAGCGACGGTACACTACAGAGGAAGAGTCAGCGACGGTACACTACAGAGGAAGAGTCAGCGACGGTACACTACAGAGGAAGAGACAGCGACGGTACACGTACAGAGGAAGAGACAGCGACGGTACACGTACAGAGGAAGAGACAGCGACGGTGCACTACAGAGGAAGAGACAGCGACGGTACACGTACAGAGGAAGAGTCAGCGACGGTACACTACAGAGGAAGAGTCAGCGACGGTACACGTACAGAGGAAGAGACAGCGACGGTACACGTACAGAGGAAGAGACAGCGACGGTACACGTACAGAGGAAGAGACAGCGACGGTACACGTACAGAGGAAGAGACAGCGACGGTACACGTACAGAGGAAGAGACAGCGACGGTACACGTACAGAGTAAGAGACAGCGACGGTACACGTACAGAGGAAGAGACAGCGACGGTACACGTACAGAGGAAGAGACAGCGACGGTACACGTACAGAGGAAGAGACAGCGACGGTACACGTACAGAGGAAGAGACAGCGACGGTACACGTACCTGGGTGTACCGACGCTGTACCAGCAGCAGCAGCAGCAGCAGCAGCAGGAGGTGGTGGTACAGGGCGTGAGGACGTCAGAGCGACCATACAAAATGATGACCAGCGCCTGGCGGAAGCCAATCGCAGCAGGAGCTGACGCAGGCTGGCCAGCAGGGCCCGCTAAGCGCCCGCCAAGAGTGGGCCGAAGCCGGAGCAGTGAATGGCTTTGGAGGAGGCATTACGGGTCGTTAAGGAAGGATGATGGGCAGAGACCTGGTGACACCACAACCTTAAGGCGGATGTAATCCAACGTAGACCTCAAGGATGTACACACACATACACACACACACACACACACACACACACACACACACACACACACACACACACACACACACACACACACACACACACACACACACACACAGGCTGGCTGTGTGTGGAGGCTGACTCCATACACAGTTTCAAGTGTAGATATGATAGAGCCCAATAGGCTCAGGAATCTGTACACCTGTTGATTGACGGGTGAGAGGCGGGACCAAAGAGCCAGAGCTCAACCCCCGCAAGCACAACTAAGTGAGTACACACACACACACACACACACACACACACACACACACACACACACACACACACACACACACACACACACACACACACACACACACTGGAGTTCTGGTGATCGTACCTGCTCAAGTGATCACAAGTGATCACAGCTGCTCAAGTGATCACAGCTGCTCAAGTGATCACAGGGGGCCCAGTGCGTCACCTCACCACGGCGCTCAAGTGCGTACATGCGTAGTGTAGAGGCCTGAGGTGGGGCGACCCGGGAGGTGCCGGGGAGGGGTGGGGGGGGGAGGGAAATTGCTATAAACAACCTCATATTGTGCTTCGGAGCTCGTAAACTCCTTAATAGATGTAAACAAAGCAGCCACGAGTGTGAGGAATGATATACAGGTTTCGCAAAGTGATTGCCTAAATGCTCGAGGAACCCTAGGGGAAGTAGGGATGGTGAAGAGACTGGGCCGCAGGCGGAAGGTGATCCCAGGAACCACCACCAGGTCCCCACAAAATAGGTCAGTACCAACACCCAACAACATTGCTCTTTATCTCCAACCAAAAAACAAACAGTTTTGTCATTTTTCCGGTCTGTGTCTTGAGTATAACACAGCCTGTGGCTCGCGGATATACACACACACCCAGAGGTGTGTGTATACCTCCCCCCCCGCCTGCCTCTCGGTGGATATACTCTGGCTAGTTTAGATTTGAAGGAACTGCGTTCAGGACATGTATTGTTGTGAGTTGGTTAGGTTAGGTTAGGTTAGGTCAGGTCAGCAGTTGAGGTGAGTTTAGTAATCCTTCAGAGGTTGGTCTATAAAGTCTGACTACAAATCTATCTACAAACGTAGATAGATTCGGGGTGTACCCTCTCAGGGGTGAGAGGGTACACCCCGGGGGTGTTGTGGTGGGGTATACTCAGGGGTGAGAGGGTATACCCCGGGGGTGTTGTGGTGGGGTATACTCAGGGGTGAGAGGGTATACCCCGGGGGTGTTGTGGTGGGATATACTCAGAGGTGAGAGGGTATACCCCGGGGAGTGTTGTGGTGGGGTATATTCTCAGGGGTGAGAGGGTACACCCCGGGGGTGTTGTGGTGGGGGTATACTCAGGGGTGAGAGGGTACACCCCTGGGGGTGTTGTGGTGGGGTATACTCAGGGGTGAGAGGGTACACCCCTGGGGGTGTTGTGGTGGGGTATACTCAGAGGTGAGAGGGTATACCCCGGGGAGTGTTGTGGTGGGGTATATTCTCAGGGGTGAGAGGGTACACCCCGGGGGTGTTGTGGTGGGGGTATACTCAGGGGTGAGAGGGTACACCCTTGGGGGTGTTGTGGTGGGGTATACTCAGGGGTGAGAGGGTACACCCCTGGGGGTGTTGTGGTGGGGTATACTCAGAGGTGAGAGGGTATACCCAGGTAAACAAAGACTGGTCTTCCTGCTTCTATAACCTTGTTGTGCTCGGGTAAAAAACGCCACCTGGTGACTATAGCATGTGATCTACTTAATGTTGTTGTTTACCCTGTCGCCTCCTCCCTCCTTTATCACTGATCTTCTTTCATTCTCAGCTTGTTCCTTCTCTTCCTTCCTTCTATCCCTTCTTGCAATTCCTCCTTCCATGCTCACCCACCCCCTGTTCCCCACGGGAGACGTCTCCCGTCACGCAGGGTGCAGTCGCACCTCCGCAGATCTCCAATATCAGCTCTTGATACTGGTAATGGCTCAAAAGGGCCACCACTTACGGGCTATTCATGCCCGTGCCACCTTTTGGGTGGCTTAATCTTCATCAATCAATCAACACTCCGCATATACAACACCGCTCCTGTGCCAGGTAAGTCCACTACGGGCTCACCATAGCCCGTGCTACTTGCTCCGCTCCTGTGCCAGGAAAGTTACGGGCTCACCATAGCCCGTGCTACTTGCTCCGCTCCTGTGCCAGGAAAGTTACGGGCTCACCATAGCCCGTGCTACTTGCAACTTGTTCCGAGTAGCTGAATCTATAACAACAACGTAACACCCTGACATCCTATTTTCATAGAGACAAAGATGGTCAAGCGTGAAATATTGGTTGTGTTGTCCCAAGAGTTTCTGTGACAGTAAACAAAAATTCAGATATTTTTTTTGTGTATGATCATACATTATAGTTTCGTTGCTTCCTAATAATATATTTTCTGAAAGAAGGGGGGAAATTGGGATGAAGCTGGGGAAGGGGGGGGGGGGGGTCACCAGAATAATTATATGCCAAAGTGGCACCCCGCTGGAATGTTAAAAAAAAAATATATATATATATATATATATATATATATATATATATATATATATATATATATATATATATATATATATATATATATATATATATATATATATGCGAACAAGCCTGAATGGTCCCCAGGACAATATGCAACTGAATATATATATATATATATATATATATATATATATATATATATATATATATATATATATATATATATATATATATATATATGTAACTCTTTTTTGTAACAAAGTTCAAGTAAGTATATATGTGTACATACAAAAGAATGGGGGTGGTAGGAGAAGATAATATTAGTGTTCAGTGAGAAACCACAAGGTCTCCTCTGAATACTTTTTATTTTCTTCTCCGAGGCTATGGGTCCCCACATTGGCACCAGAGGTGGTACCCTCACAAACTTTATATATATATATATATATATATATATATATATATATATATATATATATATATATATATATATATAATACCTAAACACCTAACCTAACCTATGCTAATATATTATAATATTAATTTATATTTGAGAAAATTCCCGTTTGACTGAACATCATGTAAAAGTTTATGAATGCGTGTGTGGGGTCGACCGCTGGATGGAATGGACTTTGAGTCGAGGACGGGTTGAATAATACACAACAAGAAGATCCGAAGCAGCCATGGCAAGTCTTCCCGTGAGCAACTATCAGCCTACAACGACGGTTCGCGCTAACAACTTGATGGCTCATTATTCGCCAGTATTTTCCTTGTGGAATCTACGCACTTGATGAGAAGTTATGCGACGTTAGATGGTCGGTAACGCAGGTGAGCTATGACCACGACACACACTCACACACTCACACACACACTCACACATGGGTGAGTGTGTCGTGAGTAATGTGGTGGAGGCAGACTCCATACACAGTTTCACATGTAAATATGACAAGAGCCTAATAACCTCAGGAACCTGTACACCAGTTGATTGACGGTCGAGAGCCGGGACCAAAGAGCCGAAGCTTAACTCTTCCCCCCCCCCCCCCAGCAAGCACAACTAGGTGAAAAGGTGAACACGTACATCATAAAGAATCTTCGCCCTCAATTGTACAATGATCACTTCACTATTTTTAGCCTGTCTTGTACGTAAGAGGAAGGGAGAGATTTGAGACGCCAGTTTCGCCTTCCTGGATCTGGTTCGGTGCTTTCTGGCTTGGTCCGGTACGCACCGGAGGCCAGAAACCTGTGAGTGTTCTCTGTG